AAAGGCAGATGTAAAGTCTAGGAAAAGCAGCCTGACATAGGAATCCCTGCTCTCTAGATGGGTGAGAGCAGAGTGGACGACAGTTGACACTGCGTCAGACACGGACCGGTTCCTTCTATAGGCATACTGATGGGGGTCCACATTGATATTAACAGTGCCTTTTATGTGAGCCAGAACCAGACGCTCGAAGCATTTCATGATCAGTTGAGTGAGGGCCACAGGACGATAGTCATTCATGCTTTCAACCACTGATTTTTTGGGCACTGGTACGATAGTGGACGTCTTAAGACAGACAGGCACAGTAGCTAGAGAGAGTGATAGATTAAAAATGTCTGTTAGCACCCCCGTAAGCTCCTGAGCGCATTCTTTCAGAACCCGGCCAGGGATGTTATCTGGGCCCGCTGCCTTGCGTGGGTTAATCTGCCGCAGTGCTGTCCTTACTTCCTCAGCAGACACACTGAAAGATAGCTCACCTGGAGATACTGTGAGCTTGGTACTTTTGGAGGAGTTTAATAAGTCAAAGCGAGCATAAAAGGCATTTAGATCATCAGGAAGGGATGGGTCCAGGGGACATTCTGCATCCTTACCTTTATACCCTGTGATGCTCTTAATGCCCCTCCACATGCTCCGGGGGTCGTTGATGTAAAAATGACCCTGAATCCGTAGGGCATAAGTAGCTTTAGCATTTTTGATGCCACCCACTAGTTCCTTCCTAGCTGCTCTCAGTGCCACTGCGTCCCCAGACCTGAAGGCTGAGTCCCGTGCTTTTAAAAGAGACCGCACTGCTCCATTTAACCAGGGTTTCTGATTTGGATACATGGTTATTTTCTTGGTGGTAGTGACGTCATCGATACATTTGCTGATGTATCCACAAACAGATAATACATATTCCTCCAGGTCCACCCCATTTCCACCTGTTGCTGCTTCCCTGAATACCTGCCAGGAGGTACGTTCAAAACAGTCCTGTAACATGGAGACAGCTCCGTTTGGCCACACAGGCCACCCTTCCAAATCTTCCAAACCTTCCAAAGCGTGAGTATTAGCTGTCCATGAGCTAGCAGCAGGATCAGGTTTATGACTCTATATGGGCTTCACCCTTGACTTTATGCCTCCACGTCCCCCCGATTGCCCGCGAGCTTCTCCTCCTGTCTATACGGTAATTTCTCCACTGTGTGACAGAGAGTCGCGTGTTATGACGCAATTGTTAGCCTATTTTTACAAAAACTATTTCTACGGGGCCATAACGTAAGATACAAGGTAATGGAGCCTTTTATACATTGTCGTGTTTCTTTAGAAATAAACAATGGACAAATGGAGTCTTTAAACACCTCAGATGTAAACTTATTCGCTGTCAAAGTGACGCCAAAATGAATGGGAGTCAATAGAATGCTAACAGCAGGTGAAGGCTTGCTAGCCAATGGCGACCCCCAGAGAGACTTCAGTTTGCGGCTGGTGGATTACCCCCTTGGTCAAAACACCCCACAGAACCGAGGGGCGCGGTGACGTAGCTCATTATCATTTAAAGACACATGCACTTAAATGGCGTGCTGAGAACAGAGCTGTTTTTGACCAGGTAAAATTAGTGTTTTCTTACAATACTAATGAGAATTTTTAATTAAAGTATATTACAAACTTTTCATTTAGACCCTAAATAATCAAATTAACTTTTATTATATGACCCCTTTAAGTCACATTTTTCTTTTTTTCATTTAACTATACATTCTTCTTATTTCATTTAACTTTTGAAAAATGAATTGTAATTTGTTCCTGTGATGGCAAAGCTGAATCAGTCATTACTTCAGTCTTCAGTGTCACATGATCCGTCAGAAATCATTCTAATATACTGATTTGGTGCTTGTACAGCTTATTATTTTTGTGGAAACAATGAGATATATATATATATATATATATATTTATGAATAGAAAATTCAAAAGAACAGCATTATTTTGAAATATAAATCTTTTATAATATTATAAATAATACTTCTTATCAGGTTAATAATTTTTGTTAAACATTTTTACATTCTTTGACTTGAATGGCAGTGCATCTCACCTTTAATCTGAAGTCTGGCTACATCATCATAGTACTCTCTGCCCTTATATTCCTATAGTCTACATTCCTCTCTTCCTTAGTCTAATTTTCTTTCCCTTATGTCTTTAACCCAATGTCTATTGGTGCCGTGTAAAGCGCTAGCAGATGGCTTCTAGGGACTAGAATGGTGTCTCTGTACGATAGTAACTGTATCACTCTCAATTAGTGTTGAAATGATCCATTCCCTGTGACCAGACATAAATCAGAACCTATTAAATGATCTCCTTCCTCCTCCCTCCTTTATGATTCACACATGAAAAAACACATTGTACTCATATTAGACCCGCTTACTGACTTATATTGACATTGATGAAAGCGGCAATTACGGCAACCCGTGTGTTGCGGAAAGAAAGTGCACTCTGGTTTAAGTGAGAACGGAGGAGCGAGAAAGACGAGATGAGCGGCTCACAAGTTTGTGTAGGAAAATAGATAGAACTGTATTGCTTTGCCCTTTTCTCTTGTGCTTGTGTGTGTAGATTTTTTGCAGGCGTGTATATAGGTAGTTAGTTTAGCAGGTTGAATAATGACTGTTCGTATGACAAACTCTTTCCTAATGAGAGCTGCATGCCCAGTTACATTTCCCAGACTTTATTTGAACAAGTTCAGCAATTTGTTATTGTAGGAGGCCCACTATAACTAATTAACATGCGTGCACACATACACACATTGCAAGAGTACATGAAGAAATGAGTTACTGCTTTTGACCCTCAATTCACTCTTTTGCCACCTGGCCTGATGCTGACCCCATCCCTACAACCTCAGGAGAGCGTTTAGCTCCACAAAACAGTGTGTGTGTGTGTGTGAGAGAGAGACAGGATAGTGAATTTAGACTGGGTTGTTGGAAGGTAGACAGACTCTGTGGGAACAGAGTGGTGCTATTACGCTGCCTCATAATTTCACTAATCAAATGTAAGAGGCAGAGAAATGTTAGAATTTTCCTGAAATAATCCTTTTTGCGAATGGATAGAATTAAAGTCAGATTTCAATATGCCGTCATTTTTCAGAAGCTTTAAAGAATGCCAATCCTATGGGGTTTTTTCCCCCCTTCTTCAGTGTTCCTGAAAATATGATGTTTTCACTACTCGTGTAGTTATGCACTGAATTTGATAGGGACTAGATTGAGATGTTTTCTGAAGAAAACATTTTCTCTATGGCATCAATGCAGTTACTAAGGTGTTGTGCTGATATAACGTGTGGCTTGGGGTCGGCATGGCAAGCTGCGGTTTTCTTTGGCCACACCATGTTTTAGGAAAACTCCCGAAAACCAAAACACAACGCCACATCGATTTTGCCCTCAGAAAATGAAGACAAAGAAAGAGTAATGGGGGAAAAATGTGGTTGCAGATGGTTAATGCCTTGATGCTTTAACAATATTTATACTGTGATATTTTATTCAAGTCTAAGTGTAACACTATCTGGTGTAAAGTGTTTTTTTTTAGATCTTTATAGATCTGTTCACCTGGAAGAATGAAAGGAATGGCAATTAAAATTTTTCCATTTCAGTTTGCTTAAACAACTGCAGCATTCAGTCTAATCTGCAGAGCTGTGTTTAGTGTAGAAGCAATCAACATTGTACCCTATAGAACAATGTATATGTTCTGCTCTCGTTTTCATTTCACCATCAGAAATGCACAAACACTCTCATAATATACTCCCTATCTTTACAAATAGGTGTTGATGTGGTTGATTGGCATGTGTATAGTCCAATCAGAGATGAGGTTTGATTTATAAGAGTAATTTTCTAGTGAATCGGCTCATAACTGTTATTTGTCAAAGAATTGGATCACACTCCTCACACTGTTTTTCCATGCATGTTGTGAGATCTCAATAGAAATATAGTTTCTGGCCAGAAGTACTATCTTTTCATCATATTGTATGTGGACTGCAGATATGATCAGATTTAGCAGCGGTGTATTTAAGAGTATTGATCCAGATTCTACTTTTATATTTTACCTGCCTTTATCTGTGAAGATTGAAGTGTTAGTTAATTAGTAAATTATCAGATAATTGCATCTAATTGTCATTACCCTGGCCTGGACTGATGAAATTGACTCGCTCCCTAGACACATGCCTCTCTTGCTCCGTTTGTTTCCACCTCTCTCGCTCGCTCTCCCATCTGTTCTGCTTTAGCCACATGTTGAGTGTTGTTCTGGAGCTTGATCCCATGTCATAAAACAGACACTTTTCTTCTCCTCTCTGTCTTGTCTCTTCCCTCTTTTTTTCAGTTTTTTTCTTCACTCTCATTTTTTTTATCTCTGGCACATAACTGGAAGATGGTTTTATGTTGGAAATGCAAGGGAGAAAAGGAGCAAAAGAAAGAAAAAAGCTGCAGCTGCATTTGACACAGCATCGTTAAAGCGGCTCGGTAATGAATCTCTGAATGCCGTCATTCTTTAGCTATAGCTCGTTCTTTGAGAGCTGAAGTGTGAAATATCTGAAATGGCTGAGAATTTCATTGCCTTCTGTCCATCCATCTGCTGTTAAGTTTCCTCGCCCCTTGGAAACTCACAGCAATGCTGCTGTATTCCCAGCAGGATACTCGTAATACTCATAATAATCTAATCAAATGAAAGATGACAATATGATTGGTCTTGGTTTTGATTCAGTTCTTTTTTTTTTTTTTTGCTGGCGGTGCTATAACAAACAACATTGCCAAAGATGGTTGTAGTGAAATAGTAATGGTTATCAATTCAAAAGCAGCTTTATTTGTCAGTAGGAGGTAGTAATCTAAAGCAGACCTCTAAAGCTCCATGATTTATACTATAGGATTCAAGCAGAGGCTTGGAGTATCAAGGCTGGAATGATTAGCCAAAACGAGTAGCTACACAAAATCAGTCAAACGACTACTGTTTGTCTTACTGTGTGCGTTTCTGTGTGTTATTATGTGTACAACTCTTTCTCGTTGCAGAGTTTGTTGTCTGTTCATGATACTGTGGCCAGGAAGAGTTACGATCCAGAACTTCCTCCTTTGCCAGATGACATTGATGATGAAGAAGACTCTGTCAAGATCATTCGACTGGTCAAGAATAAAGAGCCTTTGGTGAGAGAACTTCCTTCTCACACACACACACACTTACACAAACACATGTAATTTTCCACATACTGTCAAAGCCAGACATATATGGGCTGCCATAATTCAAGCATACGTAGTGGAAAACACTCTTGTGAACACGAAGCACATAAATAAATGCGCATTCGCATGATAGTGTTAGTGATGTGTTTGGCTCACGCTCTCTGTTCACCCTCATCCTCTAGTTCCTCAGTGACCACATATCCTCTGCCTAAACATGACACAGGCCACATTCCGCATTACATTACATAGAAACCAGCTCTGTGTCCAGTGGTCTCCTGCGGTGAATAGATGTATGTGTCTGTTCCACTTTCCCTTAGGTGTCATTCACAGCTCTCTCTAAGCCAGATTTTTGTCCAACGTTTGCTCTTCCATTTCGTCTAATTTCTCAGTGAGCTGTCAGAATCAGGACCTCTGTTTACTTGTATTGTCAGCAGTTACCCAAGCCTGTTTGGCTTAAGGCTGTACTGTACTTGAAAGTGACAATGAATGAGCACTGACATTCATTTTTTTGCTCATTCTCAAGTTTTGAGAATCACAGAATGACATATTAGATCATCTCATATTTAACTGAGCATTTGTTGAGCTTGTGGGAAGATTTATTGAAGGTGGTAGTGTAGCGTAACACTTCTGGACTGATGTTGACTTTCTAATTCCTTAACTTAAAGTACTGTCTGTCGGCCTGACAGACCTACCTTATGTCTAATTTTATAACCAGTTTATACTGAAGTGAGACACACATGAAGGCTAATTTACTTCTTTTTTTTTTTTGGAAAGCAATTTATTGGGTACTTGTTTTTACTATCACTTTTGATCAATTTAATGCATCCTTGCTGAAAAGATTTATAATGTTACAAAACATTTTGATTTTAAAATAAATGCGTTTCTTTTGAACTTTGATAATCAAAGAGTTCTGAAAAAATGCATCATGATTTTTTACATTATGACTTTCAACATTGAAAGTAATAAGACATATTAACTTCTTAGGCACTAAATCAGCATTTTAGAATGATTTCTGAAGGATCATGTGACACTGAAGACAGTAATTAATGCTGAAAATTCAACTTTGCCATCACTGGAATAAATTGCAATTTAAAAAGTATTAAAATAGAAACGGTTATTTTAAATTGTATTTTTTTATCCACAATATTACTGTTTACTGTATTTGATTAAATAAATGCAGTCTTTGTGAGCATAAGATACTTTTTTCAGAAACATTAACACATCAGTTGTGTATGGTAGATAATGAAAATGCATTATTTGTGAATGTCCCTACTGAATTATTTGTTTTAGAAGTCCTGAAATAGCATTCTAGATCAAATGTTACAGAATTCAGATTTAACAGCTGTAGACCAGCATTTGATCTTGAATGCATGTTACTTCCTCCTAAGTGAAATGAAATGCAAAATAAATATCTTCTTTCCTGTAGATAAACAGGTCTGACCTGTGGCCCAAGTCCTCAGCAATTTTACATGATGGCTGCCCTCAGAGAAATCTCAGTTTACATTTTATATGTAGAAAAAAACAGTTTTTCAGACAAAAAGTCCAATGTGTTTTTCTCCCCAATTCAATCAGCCCACTGAGCTTTGCACTGAATTTCTTTTTGCAATTGTTTCTGATTTTAACTTGAAATTGTATATATCAGGCTCAGACAGCACATGCAGTCATTATTACAAAAGGACTGCAAAGTTTAACTTTAATTTACTTTTTTTTTTGTTGCTCTTGTGTGTGGTAGTTAGCAGGCTTTTGCCTCAGAGGATGATTCATCTGTTTGTATAATTGTGATTAGTTGAATGGGTAGGATTCGGTAGCTCTGATTAATTGCTATCATTTTTCAGACCATGACATCATGCAGGATTTTAGTGAGGGGAGTAATGAGAAGAAAGTGGAAGGCGGGTGGGGGGTGTTGGGTTCAGGTCCTTGGACTTTGGGGGTGGGACCCAAATCCTCAAATGCTCTCCCCTCTGTTTGGTAACTTTAACCTGCTGATTTATTAGCAGCAATGGCAGGAGGCTGAAATAATTGGGCTTGGATCAGCATACATGGCAGCAGCAAAAGTGAGCTCAGTGGTGGATTTTATTGAAAGAATGTGTTGTTTTGGATAAGGTTACTGAAAGGTCTATAGGAAGGCAAAAGAGTGTGTGTATGGGTGTGTGTTTGTTGGATAGATAAAGTGTATATGCTATATCCAGATTTTCAGACTGAGTAATAGGAGGATAGGAGACAGAACAGACATTTGCCAACAAGATGATTTGGCTGTAGATTGTGTGTGCACTCATTTCATCTCATGACTTGTGTTGGTTGGCGAGCATCTAGGTGCTTATTGCACATTTAAGTTGGAGCGTGACCAACAAAATCTTTAATCCCTAACTATACAGTTTGTCTTGTGATGTAGTAGTCTTCTTCAATCTCCATGTCACTCACCCTGAGGGCTATATTAATCTACCCCCTCACCTTTTTCAAAATGAGAACTTTATCTTGCTACTTTTAAATTTGATTACAAATTTTCAATCAATTTGAGTGAAAAGTTGAGACAAGTTTGGTTGTACCTTTTGCTGTAATGACAACACCACAAGTGCCTCATTTATTTATCTCACACAAAGGTCTGTTGCAAAGCACACATTTCTCAGTAAATAGGGTGAGATATTTTATTTATGAATTAAACCTAAAAGTCATTTTGATCTCTTTGTATGGTTTAAAAGTATTATCAAATGAAACTCAACAGTGTATAAATGTGCAATTCAGCAGGACTACAACAGTGCTGAACTCCCTTCACGCCAGTCATGACGACAATAGTTTGCGCGCCATTTATTTATTATGTGCACAATTATTACAGTAATCTATATTACTATTGCAGCAGCAGAAATTATAATCAGAATATACAATCAGAGAAAACCAAAGCCTAATATTTTCTTCTTAAAGGTGCAGGAAGCGATTTCTGAGAGATGCTGTTGAAAGTGGATTGGGCTGAACACCAAAACACACTTGTAGCCAATCAGCAGTAATGGGCGTATACACTCATGAGGGGGGAGGTGCCTGTGCTGCATAGCGTCTGCATCCGAAATCGCATACTTCCCTACTATAAAGTAAGCGAAAAACTGAGAATAGGCAAAAAGTACCCTGATGACCTACTACTTCTGACGAGATTTTGAAGTGCGCACACGATGAACACTTTACTGAGGCCACGGGAGAGGATTTATGAATGGCGGTGAAGTGACTTAACTGACGCTGGTACTGCATCCCTGAGCTCACGCAACAGGAACGAGCGCAATAGACAATGCAAATTGGCAACGTGCATTATCACAAACCAAAACAAAAACAAACATTCCAGCCTGGAAACACACATTTCAAAGTAAAATAACTGGCTGTAGAAGTGTTTTCAGAGAAACTAGTATATGAACTTAGCATGTTTCCTCAATATATGCAAACATATGGTATTTTTATGCTTTTATAGTAGAGTGACATTTAAGTGTGACATTGTGTGACAAGAGTGACATTACAGCACCTTTAAGCCTAACATATTCATACTAAAAGCTAAAATCCTGTGTTCTTGGAATCAGGGGGCCTTTAAAGGGACACTTCACCCATTTGCATTAAGCTTTGTATTGTTAGAAACCCAGTCATATATTATAATGATCGTGGATTTTTCCTTTATTTTTCCCTGAGATGGGAGAAATAAGGATTTAAGTGTTTTACTTCCTGCTTTTTATGACGTAAAAATCGTCATTTTGCGTCATAAAAAGCAGGAAGTCCCATTTCATTGAAAAGTGTAGAGACTACAAAAGCAAGCTCATCATTTATTCAGGGTGTGGGACCCACTCACGCTACAGACCTATTACAGATCAGTGGGTGGGGCTTCACTTGCAGATACAGAAAGCAATATCCGCCATCTTGTTTGGAAGCTATAAGCTAACAAGCGCTGTGGAGATAGGAAGTTACGACAATGACGGATGAAACTAAACATGATATGGAAGAAGAGGATTTTGAAATTCTGCTACTCGAATCCGGTGTTCGTGGCTATTTTTACGAGTCGCAATATAGTGAAGAGCAGCTGAGCCTGATGGAGGAACAGGAGGCGGCTGCTGCGGCTTCTGCAGCCGAGTCAGAAGACCTGCCTGTCGTGGACGAGGAGCCCGGACTGGCTCGAGCTGGGCGGACTGCTGGTGCCTGTGCTCTCGCTGTGCGCGACGGACACAGATAGAGTCCGTCTACTGCAGAGAATTTCAACGATCGCAATTTCTCCTGGACGAAATCTCTGAATCAGACGAGCACACGGACGTTTGTGTTGTGATCCATCCAAGTTTCGCACCGCATATGTTCTGACTGAACATCCAGGTATCATCATCATGCAATAATTCACCATATAGAAAGAAATACAAACGAGGAGTAATTCACTAATGAGTTTGCCAATGTAACGGGGTTCGTTGTTGTGGGAAGAATGAGGCGGGAACCGGCAAACATTTAAACATTTTAATAGTAAAATAAACAAATACAAAACAAAAATATAAGCGAGCAGCCCCTCACTGCTGGCCACACACAACAGAAACAAAACACAACATAAAATCAGGCCTGTTCCTCTCTCGATCTGGACTGTCGTCGCTCCTCGTTTTATGCGTCCGCTCCTCGGTGAGAGACGCGAGAGAGACCGGTGCGTCTCACAGCTGTTGTTCATTATCACTCGCGCCACCGGCCTCGCGCTGTCCTATCACATCCCTCGCCCTCGTCCTGCTCGCCACAGCCAACTAACTAGAAATTTTGTGTGAAATGAATTTCTAACTCTGGTGGCAGCTAACGTTAGCCTTGTAGACGGAAAAGTGATTTCTCTGATGTTTGCGCTGCTGGTCTGGATTAGTGGGAGTGGCTTGCGGAGCTGTGCAATGTGGTGCATTGTGGGAGTTGTTGTCTTACATACAAATGCGCCCTAAAGTTATTTTCTGTCTTTTCTCGGTCAAGAGGGCATCAAATTCAAA